GGCGGCGGAGACCGAGCCGGAGCCCGGGGCGAGCCCGCGGCGGCGCGACCGGCGGCCGCAGGAGGAGCAAGAGCAGGTGAGCCAGGAGGGGCGGCGCGGTCCGGCCGGTTTCCCGAGCCCCACGCGGCGGCAGAGGGAAGTGGCCCGGAGGGCGGGCGGCGCCCGGGCTGTGCTCGGCTTGGGGCGCTGGTCGCCGCGGCGTTCTGGGAAGCGGCCCCGGAGAGCGTTTGGACGGAGCCCTCGGGGCCGGTCCGCGGGATCGCGCGTGTGCGCTGCCAAGTGCCGGCCAGGAGTAGCGTGCCTGCCAGGGTCAGCGCCGCCCTTACCCACCCGTCGGGCAGAGGCTTCTCAGGCCGGAGCCCGGGGGTCTGTGGAAGTGCCCTCCATAACGGTCACTTATCTAAAAGCCTTACATGTAAACATTCTTCAACTTCGAGTTCATACCCCGGTGCTGGCCCCGGCAGCCAGTGGCTCCCCTCCCGACTTCCATCTTGTCATTTCTGAACTCACACCTGGCGCCTCTTGTAAGGTGTGGGTGTATTTCTCTAGACATGCAATCAGTATCTGAAGACGGGTAGGAGCGAGTATTAACAATAGGTGTCTTGACAGGGACTCTCCGACAGCAAGTTTTTCACATGAACCCAAAGGGGATCTAAACTTCATTTAAAAACTGAAAAAGCTGAGTAATAATTCAGTTTAAAAAATAATGCCTAAGGCAGAAAGAAAAAAAAAACTGAAAAAGCAAGAAAATTGCTTTCAGTTGGTACCAAAGGGAAAAAAAGTATGAGTCCAGCCATAATAAGGGAAAAGGGAAGTTGGGTAGTTTTTGAAACTCTCAGAATTTGCTTTCACTAAGTTAAGTATGTGATAATAGGCAGTATAACACATCATTTATCTTCTAGATTAGGCAAGAAGTTTAATAAAAGAAATCGAATTATATGTGGGATGAATTTTCACCAGCAAATACAGTAATTAGACCTTCAAAAATACCCAAGATAAGCTAGCCTTCAGAATCACAGTAAAGACCAAGAATTAAAATGATTATTTTGCCTTTATTACAGTGTATACTGTTGAGATCAGTTGATACCTGTCTCCTCTCATTATCCTTCTGCATCTGTTCTTTTTGTCACATTTCACAAACTTCAACATCATCAGTAAATGCATTAATAGATAAAGTATAAGTTCTAGTGTCTCAGCATTGTTTAGAAAACAGAAATAATTGTATGGCACGCACAAAATATGCCTTAGCATTAGGTTTGCTCACCCTGTGGAAGTGTAATTTTTCATTCTTTTGACAATGTAAGAGATGGTGACTGAAGCAAATAATTGGTAGCTAGGAGATCTTCCTGACTGCTTTCCTGGTAGTTTTCCCCCATTAACTGTACTGTGACTCAGTAGCTAAAGGACTGTTTCCTCTTACTTTAGTTGTTCAACTGGGAAAGTGAAGAAAACAGCAACAGGAACTCCCTGGCGGGGAGTGTGTGTGTGTGGGGGGGGGCGGATGTATTTGAGCTGAAGGACCCAAAGTAATTTTCAAGTGGTTTTAAGGGAGCATGTAAAATACTTCATTTAAGCTTCTGTGGATTTTTCATCATCAGTAGCTCTGGTCTTAACAAAATTGCTTATGGTACAATGACAAGAGATGAAACGAAAAAAGAATGAAACATATAGCCTAGAAAACTGATATACTTTGCATACCTGCTTCTTTCATTGCATGTCATGTAAATTTATTTTCCTGTACTCCTTTGAAAATGTTATCATTTATTTTTATCACATGATTTATTTATGTACTCTAGGTCCACATACACAATACTTGAAAATTACACCTGAGATATGCATTTCCTCCTATATCAGCACCAAAGAAGAACTTCTTATAAAGAAGTCAAAAATAAACAAAAAATTGAGACAACCCAACTCATTGGTGTAAAAAGCAAGCTTTTGTGATAAGTCATTTCTTGGTAATAAGTGTAGCTTTTTTTTCAAGTCCTGAAAATGAAATTTAAAATTTGTATGCTCTGCCTTGCAATGATGGTAGAGATATAAAGATATTTGAGGGAGAGGTAAATGAAATTAACAACTATAAAACATAGTCTAAGGATTTGTTTTATTTTGTTTTTCTTTAGGCAGATGGTGTGTGTTTGTTTTGTTGTTTTAAGGACACATGGACTCCAAATTACAAACGGAGTATTTTTGAAAACTTGGTTTATAAACTTGTTGCTTAGAACTTAAAGTGAACTTTTCCATAGAAACAATGATATAAACGGAAACAGAACCAAAACTAATTAGCTGGAAATGAGACAGAGGCCATCTCCCTGCTGTCCTTTCTGCTTAGCACACTCACTTAATGTTCCAGAATCTGAGTAACGTCGTGGATGTTAAGAGAGAATTGGTAGTAGTGGCAGCGGCAGCAGCAATAGCACAGGCTCCTTTGTATCAGGATCAGGGTTAGAGGTTGTGTGCTCTTGAATGCAACAGCTCCAGAAGGCACCTGACTTTTGCTCCTCCAGCTCTTTCAAAGATTTTTGTCAGCCCCTAATTTGCTGTATTAAATCCCTTTCTATTTCTAGTTCCTTCACAGTTTGCCCTTACCTGATCATTTGATGAAGGAGCTTTCTTCCTTTGGCTATTCCCCAGCCTAAAGTCTCCTCTACATACATCCGTACCTTCACTGATTTTTCTTTCTATTCCTGTCTGAAAGACTCATGCCCTTCCCTCTACCTGGAAGCCTCTTGCATCAGCTTTGACTTTACAAAACATATCTTTGGCTCGTTGTTATTATGATACCAGATCAAAATGGTATTTATTTCCTGTAATACCAAAATACCGGTATTTATATAGGTGTTTTCTTAATAACTAAGATATTATAAGCATCATTTTTTTTTTTTTTTTTTTTTTTTTTTACTATTTATCCTTAAGTACTACTCCATCTGAGAGAAAACTAAGGTTCCTCTGTCTTTCTGGCCTAAATCTTTCCAGGTACATGATTGACAAGGCAGCCGCTATCCTAGGAAAGGAGGACTTGAAAGATAACTCTTCCCGGGTACATAATGGACAGCCCAGCCGCTATCCTAGGAAAGGAGGACTTGAAAGACTGGACCAAGTTCCCTAGATGAAGGAACTGTCAAGTCTGAAGTAGGAGTTTGGCCTCTAAGAAAGATAAGCCAGGGAGAGAGGCAAAACGCCCAAGGAACTGAAGGGACAGGGCACAGCTGTCCTACATGTGTGTTGGTAATTGTGTGCATGAGGGATGATCCAATTATGTTCATGACTGTGAATGCCAGGTCCCTTTAGGTAAGAGGGTCTCTGCCCTGCTGCATACCTGGAAGGTTAAATATCTCCAGTCCTTTTATTACATTTATGTATGTATGTGGCATTTCACAACCTGAATAACCTAAGATGGCCCTGCCTTAGATGGGATAGAAAGGTCCCACCATCCTTGGATTAACTTTAGAATCATTATTTTTAGCTTTAAGTCTTTCTTTATGATTATAAAAGTAATGTGTACTTCGGAAAATGTAGAACTATAAAACAATCTAGGGTGCTTCCCTGGTGGTGCAGTGGTTAAGAGTCCGCCTGCTAATGCAGGCGACACGGGTTTGTGCCCCGGTCCAGGAAGATCCCACATGCCGCGGAGCGGCTAGGCCTGTGAGCCATGGCTGCTGAGCGTGCACGTCCAGAGCCTGTGCTCTGCAATGGGAGAGGCCACAACAGTGAGAGGCCCGCGTACTGCAAAAAAAAAAATCTAAAGAAGAAAACAAAAGTATTTGATATCTCACTGAGTAATATTGTGCTATAAAATATGAAACATTTGATGTTACTACATTCATATATCTCTCTGTATGTGTATATGCATATGTACACACATATTTTTTAACATGTTTTAATGTAATATTTGGATTTGGTATCTTGTTTTTATCTACTTAGCATGTTGTGTCATTTTCCCATGTTATCAAAAATTCTTTGTAAAAATTATTTTTAGGGCTGCCTAATAATCATTCCCCTAATACTACATATTTAAGTTGCTTCAAACTTTCTTTTATAGATAATGCTGTAATGAAAATCTTTGCTTATAAAGTTCTACCTTTTTCTCACAGTTCCACCTTGGAATAAATTCCTAGAACTGGAAGAACTAGGTCAATTAGTCAAACTCTTTGAATCCTCTTGAAACATCCTAAAAAATTGCATTCAGAAAAGGTTGCACCATTGTACTCTTCTGGCATTAGTATGTAAGAGTGCCAATTGGAAACCATCCATTCCAGCAACAAACAGTATAATTTATAGATTAATCTTTGCCAACTTAATAGGCAAAAATTATCTTATTGTCGTAAGATACTGCTGGAGAGGTTTACTAAACCGTTCATATATTTATTGAGCATTTGTATTTCTTTTTAATTGTGTTCTTTGACCATTTTTTCTTTTGGCATTATTATAAGATATTAAACTCATATTTCACATTGATTATAATTATTTTCCCTGCTTGCTGTTTACTTTGTAATTTTGTTTATGATGTTTTTGACTTAGAAATGCTTGAAATTTTTATTAGCCAAAGGAATTTTTTTGTTAATTTCATACACATCTCACACCCTCATACATGCGCACACACACTGCACACATACATACATATATCTATTATATTTGTTTAGAACATTCTTTCTAATCCTACACTTAAAGTATCCACCAATATTTTCTTATGTGTGTTTATAGTTTTATTTTTTTTACCCTATATATTTAATCTCTTTAGAATGACTTTATGTATTGTGTGAGGTATGGAGCTGATCTTTTTTGTTTTTCCTAATCATTGAATAATCCACTTTCTCCCTGGCTTTGCAATCCTTTATAGTAGTTATAAATACTGAAGTCTATATTAAGCTTTTACATTTCTGTTGGCATCGTGAAAGGGATTTCTTTTTCCATATCATGTTTTTGCTGCTGGTTTCTAGCTATTGGTTTTTATTTAGTTAGTTTTAAACTAGCTACCTTTCTGAATTGTTGTTAATTCTAATACTAATATACACTACTGTCTCTTAGACTTGATTCTTTTGCATCTTCTAGGTATATAATCATCCACTCTATAGATAAGGTTGATTTTGCTTCCTTTCAGATGGTAATGCTTCATTTCTATTTCTTGCCTTTTGCAATGCTGGAACTTTCAGATAAATGCTGGCTTATAGATATTTAAGTAAATAAATGAAGGAACCTGTATAATGGCATTTATCAAAGAATGTTCCATGAGATCATCTGTAAAAAAAATGGTACCAGAGGGAAGCCTTATACCTCCTTTTTGATCTGTCATCAAAGATATGATTAGCAGTACATATTCTAGATCCAGAATACCTAGGTTTGAATCCTAACTCTGCCACTTACTAACTGTAACTTCGGGCAAGTTAATTAACCTCTTTGGCCTTCAGTTTCTTCATCTATATAAAGGGAATAATAGTTGTATCAACCCCATAGAACTGTTATATGTATGTGTGTAATATATGTAAAGTGTTACAGCAGTACTTAGCATATAATAAGTGTGTAAGGGTT